TGCTCCAGCACGAAGCACTGCACTCACAAAAAAACACAAACTGAAGTGAGACAGCAGTCTGACTCAATTCCCACCCACCGCCAGCATCCCTAGAACACCAAATTAAAAATCAGGAAAGAGGTGGAAAACAGTGGAGAAAAGCAGCAAGATTCCTAAGTTATATTCCCAGCAGGCTAAGTTAAAATAAATAAATAAATAAATAAAATTATGGATAAACTGTCAGTTTAAGGGCTCACAATACACTTGCATGCATCCCATGACTGCTCCCAACCTACTAAATCCCATGCATTAGCTTAGGGGTGAAAAGGAATGGTTGAGAAAAAAAAAGCAGAACAAGTGTCAAGGCCTTCCGTCCCTGCTTTGTGAGGTTCTGCCCTATTCACAACAGACCATATTAAGGATTCCTGTATACCTAAGTTGAGCCAACAGATCCTGGAGAATGCTCTGTCTGCTCCATCCAGTTTTAATGTGGATGGTTCCAGGGGAACCAACCAGGAAGGAAGAGGAGAAATCAGGTAAAGTACTCCTCTAAGAAGTTCTGTTTGACTTAACTGCACCTAAGAATGAAATCCTAAGCATACCAATTTAGTGGAGAGTGTAAGGTCATGAAGCACATTAGGTTGCTAGGATGTGTGGGGAGCAGAAAACTGCAGGGTACAGCAAGCTAGCTGAAGGCAGCAGGAGAATAATAAAGATGACCCGCTGGGGAGGGTTAGCAGGCAGGTTACATGGCACTCTTCCACCTTTAATAGCTGATCAATTGATGTTAATCGTACACCCCCAGTTACATTTTACTCTTAGAAAGTCTTGCTTTGCAGGCAGTTATTACAAACCATTCCCTACTATAATTTTAGAAGTGAACACTTTAACATTCTACATATTTGTTTATTTGTTTATTTGTTTATTTGTTTATTTGTTTATTTGTTTATTTATTTATTTGATTTATATCCCGCCTATCTGGACGAATAGACCACTCTAGGCGGCTTACAATATAAAATAAAACAGTATAAAACGACAAATACAGTACATACATAGTACGAACAACAACTACAATAAAATACGAATAGGAAGAATAAGAAAAGAAAATCAAGAACTGCCTGGAGGTAAGGCCTGAATGAACAACCATGTTTTAAATTGGGTTTTAAAGATGCCCAGCTAGGGGCCGCGCAAATGTCAGGAGGGAGATTGTTCCAAAATATTCATTCTACTACTGATAAGAACTGGTAAACTGTGATAGCTTCCCTTGGTACAATTTACACATTTTAAATTAGGGGATGAGATCTGTAAAGTCCATATTGATGTCTTCTTTCTTTCCCCATCTCCAGATCCATTCAGTACAATTTCCCATGCAATGTTTGGTGAATTTATAAATGGGGGGAAATCAATAGAGGTTTTTGTATATATTTTATAAACAGTCATATTAATGGATGGGATAATTGAAATGTGTTTGGATTTTAGAAATTAATGCAGAGCTTCTTGCACTTTTTTTTAAATGTGTGCTTGTTAATTGCCTGTTTTTATTTTATATAACAAATGAGGTTTGCAAATATATGCATTTGCAATCACAAATGGCAGTCCATATTCTATTCCATTGGTTCCCAACCTTAGATCCCCAGATATTCTTGAGCTGCAACCCCCAGAAGCCTTTGCAACTAGCTGCCCAGTGTTTCTAGGAGTTGCAGTCTAAGAATACCTGTGTTACCCAAGGTTGAGAATCACTTCTCTAGAAAATCCAGTAAGTACGTTCGTTTCGTTTAGTCGTTTAGTCGTGTCCGACTCTTTGTGACCCCATGGACCAGAGCACGCCAGGCCCTCCTATCTTCCACTGCTTCCCGGAGTTCTGTCTATTTCATGTTGGTTGCTTCGCGGACACTGTCCAGCCATCTCATCCTCTGTCGTCGCCTTCTCCTCCTGCCATCACACTTTCCTAACATCAAGGTCTTTTCCAAGGAGTCTTCTCTTCTCATGAGATGGCCAAAGTACTGGAGCCTCAGCTTCAGGATCTGTCCTTCCAGTGAGCCCTCAGGATTGATTTCCTTTAGAATCGATAGGTTTGTTCTCCTTGCAGTCCAGGTGACTCTCAAGAGTCTCCTCTAGCACCATAATTCAAAGCCATCAATTCTTCGACGGTCTGCTTTCTTTATGGTCCAGCTCTCACTTTCATACATCACGACAGGAAAAACCATAGCTTTGACTATTCGGCCTTTTGTTAGCAAGGTGATGTCTCTGCTTTTTAAGGTGCTGCCAAGGTTTGTCATTGCTTTCCTCCCAAGAAGCAGGGGTCTTTTAATTTCGTGGCTGCTGTCTCCATCTGCAGTGATAATGGAGCCCAAGAAAGTAAAATCTGTCACTGCCTCCATATCTTCCCCTTCTGTTTCCTAGGAGGAGATGGGACTAGTGGCCATGATCTTAGTTTTTTTGATGTTCAGTTTCAGGCCGTTTTTTGCACTCTCCTCTTTCACCTTAATTACAAGGTTCCTTAATTCCTCCTCACTTTCCGCCATCAAAGTGGTATCATCTGCATATCAGAGGTTGTTGATATTTCTTCCGGCAATCTTAATTCCGGCATAGGATTCCTCCAGTCCAGCCTTCCGCATGATGTATTCTGCATATAAGTTAAATAAGCCGGGGGACAATATACAGCCTTGTCATACTCCTTTCCCAATTTTGAACCAATCAGTTGTTCCATATTCAGTTCTAACTGTTGCTTCCTGTTCCACGTATAGGTTTCTCAGGAGATAGAAAAGGTGGTCAGGCACTCCCATTTCTTTAAGGACTTGCCATAGTTTGCTGTGGTCCACACAGTCAAAGGCTTTCGCATAGTCAATGAAGCAGATGTTTTTCTGGAACTCTCTGGCTTTCTCTATAATCCAGTGCATGTTTGCAATTTGGTCTCTAGTTCCTCTGTCCCTTTGGAATCCAGCTTGTACTTCTGGGAGTTCATGGTCCACATACTGCTGAAGCCTACCTTGTAGGATTTTAAGCATAACCTTGCTAGCGTGTGAAATGAGTGCAATTGTACAGTAGTTGGAGCATTCTTTGGCACTGCCCTTCTTTGGGATTGGGATGTAGACTGATCTTTTCCAGTCCTCTGGCCACTGTTGAGTTTTCCAAACTTGCTGGCATATTGAATGTAGCACCTTAACAGCATCATCTTTTAAGATTTTAAATAGTTCAACTGGAATGTCATCACTTCCACTGGCCTTGTTGTTAGCCAGGTTTTCTAAGGCCCACTTGACTTCACTCTCCAGGATGTCTGGCTCAAGGTCAGCAACTACATTGTCTGGGTTGTCCGGGATGTCCAACTCTTTCTGATATAATTCCTCTGTGTATTCTTGCCACCTCTTCTTGATGTCTTCTGCTTCTGTTAGGTCCCTCCCATTCTTGTCCTTTATCATGTCCATCTTTGCACAAAATGTTCCTCTAATATCTCCAATTTTCCTGAACAGATCTCTGGTTTTTCCTTTTCTGTTATTTTCCTCTATTTCTTTGCATTGTTCATTTAAGAAGGCCCCCTTGTCTCTCCTTGCTATTCTTTGGAAGTCTGCATTCAATTTTCTGTAGCTTTCCCTATCTCCCTTGCATTTTGTTTCACTTCTCCTCTCTGCTATTTCTAAGGCCTGTACCTACTGTACAGTAAGTACAGAATTGTGTAAATCCATTAAAGAAACCCAACAAAGATAATTTCTTGCACACTGCTGAACTTAATCAGGTATCATTCATATTTCAACATTATATATTTGGTTTACCCTTTTATGTCTATATAAATTTATCTTAGTATGAATAATGAGTCACTGTGCTTGATTAATACAACATCTCACAATGGAAGGTATGCACAATGTTTAAAATTCTTTATATCATATAATTTACAAGCGAATATTTTAGGACTTAGCAATGAAAAGTCAGTTAAATGATTTTCTAGAAAAAGGTATTTAGAACTAATTTATCCTTCTAGTCTTAACACACTGGAGATATTGAAGGAGATGATCTTGCAGTTTCTGGCTTTTAAGAATCCTGTATTTATTATAATCTCAATTTAATTATGTGTCATTCTTGTCAGACATGATGCTATATAACAATAATAAATGGTAACAGGTGAAGAGATGAGTAATGTTATAATTTTAGCTCCCAACCCCCCTCCTCCAAATTTGACCTTCTTCCACATAGTAGAAGTTATATAAAGAAATAATATTAATAATAATCAACAGTTAGGAAAAAATATTTTAACAGCTCAAGGATTAAATGTTTGTGAATTAAAAATGGCACCAAAACTCATATAAATGCATGCAAAAATATAACACTTATTTTTTTTCACTGGTCAATGTTATGGAAACTCTATTTTCAATCTTCCTACTGACCTGGCAGAAGGGAAGCATTTTTAAACTATATTTTAAACTGCTGTTTGAATTTTGGGACACTGAACTAAAATCAGTGTAATGTGTAAATATTTACATATTTACTTCCATACCTTCTAGTGAGTATGTACCAAACCTTCATATCTATCTAACGGAAACATTTCAGTGCATGCTTATTGAAGAGTTGCTGCTGCTGTTGTTGTTGTGTACCCTAAAGTCACAATCCTATGAATGAGCAATCTCCAAAATATCCTGTCATCAGCTGTAGCTCTTGTAAACTCAAGCCAGTGTAGGCCTCATTAAAATAATTATTGTGAGCAAAGATGCACAAGAATCTGTTCTACATAATACTTTTGAAGGCATCTCTCCAGTCATACTGTAATTCTAGCAACACAATAGTCCATGAAAATCTGGAAGCCATGAATGTCTGTGTTCATGTCTGTTCAATTTGTGACTCACGAAGCTACGGTCTTATACTGTTGTGTTTCTTGCACTCCTAGGTAAGTAACAGTAGGCTTACTAAGTTTGGTGGGATTTTTTTTAGCATTATATAAATTATGCACACTACATGAATAACTTTTATTTGAACAAAAGTTAGACAAAGAATATGTTTCATGCAAAAATAGTAATTATAGCAGTATTTACCAACTGGATCTTTCTGATTCTGAAACAGTATTTTGCTGTTGCTACCATCCATATTTGCCAAGTTAATAGTGTTCCCATCAGTCCAATAAAGTTTCCTGAACAAAAACAAAAGTCAGAAAACATGTTCTCATTAAAATATTTGTGGAGTAATACTAGCTTACTACGAAATGATGTGTTCGAGCAAACATCAGATAGGGTGGCCTATGGTTTTGCTGCAGTTTGCATGAGAAGTCCATGGAGGGGGCAGTTTTTTCCCTTTCACAAATGTAGCAATTGCACTGAGAAAGATTTTGTTGCACCATCTGCAGAGTAAGAGTGACATTGGGCCCCTTTTTAATAAGGGTTGAAAGAGTGAGATAGGAGTGGCTTCTTACCTTCTTGCACCTACTGAATGCACTGTGCCAGATTTTACTCTATTTTGTTGTTGTTTACTCGTTAAGTCATGTTGGTCTCTTCGTGACCCCATGGACCAGAGCACACCAGGCCCTCCTGTCTTCCACTGCCTCCCGGAGTGCCTCTAATTTACTCTATTAGACCCAACTTAAGACATAATACTGTATCAGGTTCTTCTGTTGGGTATATCAGAAAAGTGGGGGGCTTTAGAATGAGCACTTCCTCACCTTTCCCCAAGACTTCTGACATGTTTAGATTTTCTCTACACTTCTGGCAAAACATCTGAAGTAATATCTGACAGCAGAAGTATTACACTGTAGCAGGCCTCTCCTACACAAGCAGAGTGGCATGTGTCCTGCGACCCAAGGCCTTTCTGACAGCTTGCAACCGGCAGTCGGACTGCACCCTCCCTTACACTCAACTCTGAAAAATTGATTTCTAAATTCTACCACAAAAACAATGTTAAATTAACATGTATTGATTACAGTTTTCCTAAATTTCCATCAGCATAACGCCAGTGATATATCTTTCTGTGGTGAATTGCCACTACAGTAGTTAAAAAGTCAAAGTAGGCAGTTCTGACTGGTGTGTGATAGGAAATGCTTATGCCAACTTCTCAACTTGTGGTAATTTGCTGCTGAAAGTTATGCCGCTGGTATGACACTAGTGAACATAACTAATAGGATTCCACCCACTGTAAACTTTGGTTAAATAGAATGGTTTGCAAACATGTCAAAAATGTTATGTATGGGCAGAATCTGTTTATCTCTACACAGTACATATGTGGTTATTCTTTCCTGCCTGTTTTTCATGGCAGTATTCATTACCTCGTTCAGCAAGTGGAAGCTCTGTTGTTTTGAGTGGGGCAATCTCTAGCTAATGCAAGTCCAAGATGAAGTTTGCATGGAGCCTAATGCTTATGGGGCACTATTCATCATATTTTCCCAACAGGATTTTGTCCAATATATTTCATAGTTTTTTGTTACATATCTATAAGTGCTTGCTTTGAGGGCCACGTTTTTGCGTTGGGGCTCAGTTTAGTGCAAGATATTAAGACTGACAATATCATGCACCATTATTTCTTGTATTCATAAAAGTAATAATTGGGTGCCATCAAGTCAATTCTGACTTACAGCGACTCTTTTCAGGGTTTTCTAGATAGCAAGTACTCAGAAGTGGTTTGCCATTCCCTTCTGCAAGTGCTTTGGGACGATATAGCTTGCCCAAGGCCATACAGGCTGGCTTTTCTGCTGGGAGGCACACTGAGGAACTGAACTCCCAGCCTCTAGCTCCACAGCCAGATAACTAACTCTGACTGCGGTCACACCAGCAGAATGTCCACCTGTGGTTACGCAACTTTTAATTCTGTTCCCGTCATGCTTTGTCATCACATGGTATTGATTCCAGAATTGTGTCCTAGTGTGTTTTTGAGTTACCAATTCATTTTCTTCCAGTTCAATAAGCGCTAGAGCTTCTTGTTGAGACCATCTGACAGACGTTAACTCGCACATTGACACAAACGCTGAATACATTTTTAAATAAAAATCAGAAGGGCATGCACAGTGGCAGTAGCTCAAAAACATTGTGATAAGATTGTTCACACACACAATGATGCAATATTTCTTTAAAAGATCCGCAAGAAAAAAACTAGAAGCCTCTGGCCAAGCAAGAAATGATCCACAGTGAGCACACTCATTGTGTAAATAATTTGATAACAGCTCTGTGTCATGTGACTGCAAATTTATGATACGAACTCAGTGGCGGATAGGAAGGCAACATTTGGCCTCATTGAGCTAAAATATAAAATAAGAATGAAAAGGAGTACAATTTTCTGGAGTCCAGACAGACTCTCTAGATTTCAAGATGTTCTTCACTGCTCACTATTTTCCCAAAGGTGAGTTCAAAAATATGTACTGTATAACTGCTTCTTTCATATTTTGACTTATGGTATAGCTTCTGAAGAGATATACTGAATATTGTAATTCAGTCTCTGTATACTGGCCAGGGCTACAAGGGAACAGAAGGAAAATGACACCTCTCCCTTTCCACACACAGATATGGGCCCCACAGATATTAGATATAATTCCACATAAATACCTAACTGCACCCCATTTGGCAGTTTTCCTCTCCACTTTGTGTGTGTGTGTGTGTGTGTGTGTGTGTGTGTGTGTGTGTGTGTGTGCGTGTGTGTGTGATTTTCACAGAGGCGCTATTTCTCATAAGCTGTTAGTGAGGTTTCATGTTACCTGAATTCACTAGCTAGCACTTCACCTGATAAGCAAATGCAAAATCATACTCAAAATAATGCACATTACATTTACAATGCCATAAGTCTACTGGTGAAAATAATACTTTACCCTTTAGCTGGATGCACTGCAAGGTACTGTGGTTTATCAATTCCATGTATAATTGACGTTTTTAAAGAGCCGTCTAAGTGCGCTACATTAATCTGTGTTTCGTCAAATTCTGAGCTAATCCAGTATAAATTACGTGATAACCAATCTACTGCTAGTCCCCGAATACTCTGAATGTCTGAAAAATGAAAAACAGAAAAGTAGTTGTCCAAACTGCTCTGCCAATACATTTCCATTTGTTTTAAAAGGACTTTATATGTTTCCTTTCCACAAAATAATTACCTACCTTTAATTATTTCTTCACACACTTGAAGAAGTCTATGAAGCTAACTTTTCAATTATATTACTTGAAGTAATTTTACTGTGTAAAGCATAATGTACCTTAATTAGCTTTCTATACCCACAATATACAGCACTAAACTAATAGCAGTGCAAGCTGCTGGTTGCTATGCAGGTCTTCTGAAGAGTATGTGAAAAGCTCAGAGCACAAATGCAGGCTTTATTTTCTATTACAAGAGAGAAAGATAAAGACAGGTTGAAGTGCCTGTCCAGATTCCCACAAAGAGCATGTGAAACATGAACACTGAAGACAACAACATGAGTCAGGGTATATGGCATTATCCTTCCCATTCCGGAGAGTAAGCAGTGTTGGCAGATGGAATACTGACTGTGCTCCTTCCTTTTGTGAAGTGATCTGGGATTCAGCTGAAGCTCCATAATGAATTGAGAGAGGAACATTTTTTACTAATTCCATTTTCCTTCTACAGTTCCAGGACTACCTCCCTCATTGCTCCAAAGGGATCCCATTTATTTAGAAGATATTTTGGAGGGGCTAGAGGTTTGTGTTTCAGACAAAATTCAACTCCCACTTTTCCATCCATGGAGCATAGAATTTGAGGAATTCCACTCCAAGTAATTCTTGGTCCAGCCACAGGTTCCACAGTTCTTGGACTAAAATTCCCAGAAGCCATCACCACTAGCTGTGCTGGCCATGAATTCTGGGCATTATAGTCCAAGAAAATCTGGGAACCTAAGGTTGGGAACCAATGGTCCAACCCACTGTTTTTTTTTTAACCTGCTTTTTTTTTAACAGTGTGTGAAGAAAATTCTTTTGCTTAGTGTAAAAGATTGCATAAGAGTAGACTCACTGGATCGGTGGAGATTTGATGAGTAGACCCCTTCATAAGTTCCACTGATTCAAACTGGCCTACTCTACTTGTGACAATACACTAAAGTTGCAACTACAGTAGATCCATTTGAAACAAAAGACCTTAGAAAGGAACTGACTCACGAAATCCCCACTGATTGAATGCACCACTTTGGTACAACTTCCTATGGTAAGCCACAGGATTTTAGCCAAAGCATCTTCAAGATGCAACTTTGGTGAGTTGTAATGTAAAATTCAAATTATAACCCCTGGGACCCATAATGGTGATTAAATCACTGTTAGTTAGCTTAATCTCAAGATAGAACATTGCTGAAATTAACAGAACAGCATCATTTGGTTATATATAACTGTTTCCTTAATTAGCAGATATTAACCAATATTGTTTTCAATAATATACTGTTTACCTCTTGAAATGACAGTTTCTAAGCCAGTCCCGTTAATGAAGGCCCTTTTTATTGTTTGTGTCTTCACATCTGTCCAGTATAAACGTTCCTCTACAGTATCAAAATCTACAACTGTTACATCATCAATATCAGGAACTGTGAAGGCTGTTATATAGTTGAAGTACGGATTCTCTATGTCAACACCTCTGATTTCTGAACGTGTTGCATAAAGAAGAAACTTTTTCATTTCTGTAAGAATTATAGATGTTACTTTATAGATATAGTTCAGTGGAATAACATACAATTTTTATATTGAAAGTATGAATGAAGAGGATTATAACAACCAGATCTGTAATGCAGATACACTTATATACAGACAAAATACAATCTAAAGCAAAGAATTGCATTTATCCAGGTATCACAAGCAACATTTATTGTCCCATTATATGTAAGAACAATACCAACACAACAAACGAGGGAAACGAAAAGTTAGTTAGAATTTAGCATCCCAAGTATCTTAAATACTAAATATTGTTAGAACTTTAAATTATTTCATATTATTAGGTTAATGGTGCAAATGCCTTGTACTAAATACTAGCATTACATTAATAGGAAAAAATCTTTTAAGTGAAATCAGCCAGGTATTAAAACAAAGCCCAATAAATTGTTCATTCTCTTATAGAATAGGACAAATGGAATTTAATCAGTTCTATGGGGCATTCCTCCTCCCCTCCTATGCAGCTAGTTCCAAGTAAAAAAAGCAAGTCATGAGAGACAAGGCCATGGGCTGGAGCATAGAGACCCGAAGCAAACACGTCTCTATAACATCGTCTAGAGGGGCGGGGTAAAAATCCAATAAATAAATAAAAATAAATAAATATGATGCAGAATGCAGGGGCATCATTTGCGAAAGCAGAAGTGCCCTTTTGCTTGGGCAAGATCCCTTTGGATATAAAGAAAGTAAAAGAAAGGAAGTGCACATGAAATGGTGGTAACACTTTTTGATGTGCTGCTAAGGAAAAAGAACCAACTGGGTCTGCAGGACTGTTGTTTTCACAAGGGGAAGCCCAGTTTGTTCAAATGGGCTATCATAGAATTGTATCATAGAATAGTGAAGTTGAAAGGGGCCTACAAGGTCATCAAGTCCAACCCCCTGCTCTATGCAGGAATATAAATCAAAGGATATCTGCCAGGTGGTTGTCTAAGTTTCTCTTGAATGCCTCCAGTGTTGTGGCACTCACCACCTCTTGAGGTAACTGGTTCCACTGCCGTACTGCTCTAACAGTTAGAACTTTTTCCTGATACCCAGTCGAAATCTGGCTTCATGTTAACTTGAGCCCATTGTTTCATGTCCTGCACTCTGGGATGATCAAGAACAGATCCTGCCCCTCCTCTGTATGACAGACTTTCAAGTATTTTAAAAAGTGTTATCATATCACCCCTCTGTCTTCTTTTTTCAAGGCTAAACATGCCCAGTTCTTTCAGTCTTTCCTCATAGGCTTGGTTTCCAGCTCCCTGATCATCCTTGTTGCCTTCCTCTGAATTTGTTCCAATTTGTCAGCACCCTTCTTGAAGAGCAGTGTCCAGAACTGGACACAATACTCAAGGTGAGGCCTAACCAGTGCTGAATAGAGGGGAACCAGCACCTTGAGGGTGCTATTTCCCTTCTATTCAGCACTGATTCATCACTATCTCCATGGCTCAAAATTATGTTCAACAGAATGCTTGGAATTAATTCTTAATGAGTTGTTCAAAAACAAACTTTATTTTCTGTAATACATTCTAATCAAACAAAACTAATTTCTAGAATGTTTTTGCAGCTACATTTGCATAATAAAAACAAACCATCACTGCAAATTGAAACAAATGCTTCAGAGTTACTTAACATTGCTGCATCTCTTATAGCCAACACATGTATTATACTATTAAATAATTTCTTCTGAAATCTTGTATGCTTTATAAGCTACTTCTTAAAACCCCTACAATGATGCTAGGATGACTTCAGGAAAAAACTGGGTAGCCATTCGAACAATTACATACTTTTCAATAGGAGAAATCTGAGACCCAAACAAGGCTGGAATCTCTGTCCTTAAAGGGGGGAGGGTTTGTTTATGGGTTTTCTATTTTTGTATTTTTGTTGTAGTTGCTGGATGTTAGGTGTCTTGTACTTGTGTGCTTAAATAAAAAATTAACCCCCCCAAAAAAAAAAACCAATTACATACTTTTAAATTGTGCAATGGATCAGCATAATCATTTTCTGAATATGCCCTTTCCACTTTCAAATCTCTCTGATCTATAGAGAGATCTGTGAACTTACAACTCCATCCAAGATATCAAAACTTCAGAAACAGAATATATTGAAACTTGTTCACATGCAGCAACAGTTGTCATCAAAGTTATCACTACACAGAAACTACAGAAGTCCTTTATCTGTCATGCAACAAGGGATTTTTTTTTTGAAACTTACCATAACATGTCTTTCTGTCTGCAGAAAGCTTCATTAGATGAGGACAGGCACATGCAGCGCTTCTGTTGTGATTGATTAGGCACATATGAGAGCAAGGGCCTCTGCCACTATTAGCTGCACAAGGATTGGAAGCTGGAATTCAAAAGGTAGACAGAGACTTATGATGTGAGCATGTTCAACTGGCTCATGTTGCATCATTTTTATATACACTACATTCCATTTTATAGGAGAGCAAGGAAGTTTAGAATTTGTTTATAAGAAATCTCATATTCAATAAAGGGAGTGTGGAAGAGAAAGGCAAAAGGATATCTTCTATAATTATACACCTAATTGGACTCACATGCATGGAAGGTCTCAAACTATATGCAAAACCCAAGGTTGCGAACTTTCATTTCATTCCATTTTGTAACCTTGGTCATAAGACAATATCCACACCCCCTTAGAAAGGCTCTTACATCTTAGGAAACTGCTTGAATGGTGAAATATATCAAGCTTTCCCATCACTGTATTTTCATTCTTCTAAAACCTATATCTGTTGCAATTTTACCAATTATGTACACAATGTCTCAGCAGGGTAAAAAATACGATTCAGTTCCCACAGTTTAGGCAGATGGTGGGTGTGACATAAGAGAGCTAGATTTACAGAAATTAGAAGCCTTAAGCAGTGGCACCCCAAGAAAATGCCTCATCTTCATTTGCACTGAAGCTTTTGAAGAGAAAATATTGGTTCTAATCAGATGAAATCAGATGAAATAAATCCACATAACAGAGAATTGCCCACACAATGATGGACTTGAGAATGGGATGTCACTTTCTTCAAAGTATAGTCTCCTATCATTCATATAAGACAAAAAGCCCAAAGAATCTTCAGTTTGTTTCAGTTCACATACTTGGAGTTGTCAAAGTGGAATGAAAATCATAAAGGGAGTGTGCTAAGACTATCTAGATGTGTTAGTGCCAACTGACATTAAAAAATTGCCTTCCTGAGAGGCAACAGGAGTTATCATGCAGCATATTGGGTCATATCTGGTTCTCTTCCTCTGATGACAAAGGGCTTTTTCAGGCAGTGGAACCTTCTATGACTAGAAAGGCCAGGTGGTTTTCACACATTTCCTTTCCTTCTGTAGTGGTGGCGGCCACATGGTGGTTCCGCACAGCCCCCTGGGAGCTGCCCAACTGGCCGGAATTGTGCTGTCACCTCCAGATTGGCCAGCGCAGGCAGTAGGCAAGATCAGCAGCTGGCCAGCGGACCTGAAAGGAGGGGTTTCCAATCTGGTCTGCCAGCCCAGCATGTAACAGAAGCTTTGGCTGCCAGGCCCCCAGTTGACGCTGGGCAGTGTTCTCAGCAGAGCAGAGACAGAGGTGAGTGATGAGTGGCAGCACAGAGACCAGCAGCGCAGAGAGCAGTGAGAGAAGAAGCAAGGCGGAGGGGAGAGCAGAAAAGGGGAGAGCAGCACAGTTTTCACAGAGCCACAAGGACCCACAGAAGCCTTCATGGGGGTTGGTGTTCTGGGCTCAACCCCCCCCCCGAAGGAAAACCTCAGGAGCTGAAAATCAAAGTCTATAGGCATATACTTCAATGTGTGCCTATACCCCTTAGAGCTGAAATCACTGAAGCCCCTTGGCCATCCTAAACAAAGGCTTGTGAGCAGATAGCTGAAATCCTCCAGAGAGCAGGATCCAAAAGCAATAGATTTAAGTTAGAAGGAGAAGGATTCCAACAAAATATTAGGAAGAACCTAACTAGGTTGTACAAGAGTGGAATGAATTACCTTGGGACATACTGGATTCTCCTTCTTTTGAGGTTTTTAAATAAAGATTGGATGGCCATGTGTCTCGGGTGCTTTAGCTTTATATTTCCTGCTTTGAAGGACTTCATGAAACTTGGGGGTCCCTTCCAGCTGTGCAGTGTTATGACTGTACGATCTGTTTACTTTTCAAACATATGCAAACAGTTTTTTTGTTGTTGTGTTGTTGTTCGGGAGGGGAGGCAGCAAGGGTGAAGATTTTGTGTAAAAGTTTTTTGGGGTAGAGCGAATTCAAAGCAATCACACCACTGAACAGCATTAAAAAGCCTTAAACTCATAGTCCTATTTCCTTTATTTTAAAAAGGGAAATAGATAAATTCATATAAGAAGTTGTGAACATTCTCTTCTTTGGCCTCTGAGTGCAGAAGGTAGGAGCCTATGGAACCCTTCGTATCTGTATAACTCCCAGGACTTGGGTTCAACTATTAATTGATTTTATTTCTACTCCAACTTTCTCCCAACAGAGGAATCCAAGGTGGCTTAGCAATGAATTTTAAAAAGCAAATACTAAACCAATTAAAATTACAATAAATTACATTAAAAAAACCAAATATATTAAGCGTTTGAAAGATCTGAATAAAACCAATTCAAAAGAAAATTTAAAAGATAAAATATGGAACTCCCCCACTAAAACCTCCTTCTTACCAACAACTTACTTATTAAAAGTTCATTACATTACTTATTATTCCCATTCAAATATAATATTAGGCCTTCAGAACACAACCAAAGGCTGTTAGGGACTTTTCTCTGTACTTTTCTCTACGTGGGGCTTCCTTTGAAGCTGATGTGGAACCTTCAAGTGGTGCAGAATGCGGCGGCCAGACTCCTTACTGGAGTGAGAAAATACCAACATATCTCTCCTACTCTGGCCATGCTGCACTGGCTGCCCATCCGTTTCGGCATTGACCTCAAAGTGTTGATGCTTACATATAAAGCCCTAAATGGTTTAGGACCTCAATACTTGGCAGAACGCTTACTCCCAACTAGTTCTACCGGTGTCACCTGCGCGAGCCAGGAGGTGAGGCTAAGGAGCCTGACGCCGAGGGAGGCCTGGAAGGAAAGAACTAGAAACCGGGCCTTCTCGGCGGTGGCTCCTCACCTCTGGAATAACCTACTTCTGGAGATTCACGCTGCACCCTCGCTGGGTAATTTTAAGAACCAACTAAAAACATGGATGTATAGGCAGGCCTTCCCTTCCAGTTAATTCCTGTCCTCTTTCCTTTTTTATTCTTTTTCTCTTTTATTTGATTTATTTTGTATTTTTCCCATTGCAGAATCATTTAATTAATTAATTGTTATAAATTTTTCTTGAACTTGTTATCCTTTATGTTGTAAGCCGCCTAGAGTGGTTGAAATGACTAGATAGGTGGGGTATAAATACAATAAATAAATAAAAATAAATAAATAAAGTGCTTCCACTATGTAGTTCTATTATTTCCTTGAGGAGAGTGAATCACAGTTGTTGAGGTCAACTGTAAAACAAATGTGTTATCCTCCCATGGTAGCTAACTAGGATTGCCCTTGGTAACTGCTATCTTAAGAACATGAATATATGCCTTCCTCCATTGAAAACAGCCCTGATCACTATTATCAGGAGTGCTGTCTTGTTAAAAAGAAAAGAAAAATATGTCCATGCAGACACAAGCAAATGCACAACACAGAACATAGTGTAGACAATAAGAATGATCAGGAGAATCACTAGAGGAAGGAGAAAAGTAATTTTAGTATTCTGCTAGTTTCAGCAGATATTGGGAAAGGAAAGGAAAATACTTGTGACTTCCCACTCTTGAAATCACAATCCATTTCCTGCCATCCTAGCCCCATTCAGTGACAGGACAACTAGTTTTTAATACCACTGCGTTATATTCATCTATTTAAAATAATGGCCACAAAAGATTCCAAGATCAATGTGTGCGCCATATACCAACACCACAGGGTCTTTTTATAAATGGAGGACAGAGAATCATAGCATTTTCTCCAACTTGCAACTGGTGGTTAGTAACACTTCACAGAAGTAGATGCAAAGAGCCATTTATTCAAACTTTATGATTTGCTTAGTGATTAGCGATGGGGGTATTTGACTCTTCGACCTCGCAGCGAGGCTTGTTCTCCCGCCTCCTGCCAGGAGTGGTGAGCGGATCACGTACTGCGGAGCCATCGGTAGAATCATGCCGACCACGTCCTTGGTGGATCGGTGAGTAGACTGTCTGGCCCCATGGGGCTGGGCCCTCATTAATGCCACCTGTGCAGGGATATTCGTATATGAATACAAATACCCCCATCTCTGTTAGTGATCTTTATATTGCTATAGGTTTAAGATATGACTGAGACAATATTAATATTGTTGTCTCCATTTTAAATTTTTCATATTAGCAGCACAAACCAGGGGACATTAAAAGGATATAAAGAGATTATTGCATGTAAGTATAAGACATTAAGACCATACTACTACTACTACTACTACTACTACTACTACTACTACTACTACTACTACCAACAACAACAACAACAACAACAACAACAACAACAACAACAACAACAACTATTATCATCATCATCCAAGTTGAAGAGGAGGAGGAAAAGTAGCAACAGCTGAAGCTGCTAAAACATTTTCAATCATATTCCTTGTATTAGTGTACAAACTGAATGTGAAGAAAAACAATATAATGGACACTTGTTAAGAAGTATTGATTTACCTTGTGGTTGACGACTTGGGTGATAAATTTGAAGATCAAATGGCTGTGCACTAGTTTTTTGGATCACACTAACATTTTGACCAGTCCATTTGTTGGCTTTTGACAATGTGTTTGTCCTCCAGTCTGTCCAATATACTTCACTCCCAAATAAAGAGACAGCGAAGGGGTGAGAAAGATATTCATGTCCTCGTATTATCTCAATCATGCCTGTTCCATCATATAGTGCTGAATAAATAGCATCTGACCTGAGTAATAATACAAACAGAAATCCATTCTGAAATTTCAGTTCTAGAAATCAAACATGAGAGAACAACTGACATCGTTCTTACTGCAGTTGTGACCTTACAACTTTTGTCTGGAAATTTAAATACAAAAGGACTATATGCAAATATTGGAGAAAGGGTCACATTTCAGTGTTAAAAGTAACAGGCAAAAAATCTCAGGTTCAGTCTCTGGTATCACTGGATTGGATTCTGTCTTCATCACACTAAAAGCAGGTTTGCAGGAATAGGTGAGACTTAAGTTAGCTACTGTTACAGTAAGTACCTTAAGACAGTTAATATATCTGTGAAGGATCTCAGTCATCCAGTTCAGTTTCTCTGGAAGTTGAGTCATGGCAACTGGACTTCTCAGAAGTCCAGTTGCCATGATTCAACTTCCAGTTAAAATAGTTAAGAAAGCTTCATTGATTTTCATGAGTCTACTCTTAAGTATCTATGGATCCAACCTATTTATGGAATCTAATGTCTCTTTACATATTATTCATAATCTATTTCTCCTACAATCAGCCACAATTTCTTTTTTATGCCAGTGTTGTCATAATTATATGGGAAAAGCATATTACATGAATAGAGCTGGATCACTACTTGCAGGAATATCACAAAGAGAAAATAACACAATTGTTGATGTTGCTTCCTTTGATCTTACAGAAAGGTGTCCAGCATACTATATGCATGCCATAAATACATTATAAAAGAAATATATATATATATATATATATACATCTATATATTTATTTATTTATTTACCTAGCATCTGTCCATACTATTCGTTTTTCAAAATGATCAACAGTAAGGCCATTCGGCCATGCTCCACTATCCATGTCTTTATATATAATCGTTCTTCCTGCTCCACTCATAGAAGCAGACTCAATGCGAGGAAAATTAGCATCCCAATCTGTCCAAAACATAATTCTGAATGACACAAAGAACAGGGAAAAAAGTTTACAGTAAAAAGAAATATAAATAAATCATGGAAGCAGTATTTTATGAATCTAATTGTATTAGAAACCATTGAATAGGTATTCTGTGCAGGAGATAGTTTTGTCATTGATGGAATAGCTATACAACTGCCATCTAGACATACAGTTCCATAATTTTCTGGCACAATGAAGCCATACTAATGTTCAACAAATGTTCCTTTGTATTAGAAACTCAGTTTGATAACGGAGATACACCAGGCTATTAAAAATTTAAAACTATATATAAATCTACACATCTGGCAGGACACATACATGTGAAAGGTTTCCTTAATATTAAAGTGAGCTGTGGGCAGCAGGGTTTGAAAAACTGAATTGTCGTGGACAGACCATTATCTGATAGCCTTCGGATTACTGTGACCTTTAGCGTTTCACTGCCATCAGAGAACAATAATTGCTGGAGGATTCCCAAGTGTTCCATGGTGTTTTTTTTTGTTTGTTTGTTTGTGACAACAGGTGACAGTCTTCTCAAAGCCTTTTCTTGATCTACAAATAGACAATCAAGCTAATTACAGTACCACTCACAAACATTCTTTCCTAGTATGGAAGGAATGGACCTTTGTTTTCTGAGGGGCTGCAAGCAATGAAGTACCAAGCTAAACCAAAGATGAGAAAAACGCAAATCAAATCCAACTGAACAGGAGTTAGAACTCATGTCCATCACTATTCCATGGCAGTGAAAGAAATTAAATTAATTTTCTTGCTACCTCCAGTAGTCTAGCTTAGGAGGAAAGGAGGCAGGTGGTGTAAAATCAGGAAGTGATATGTGGCTTAAAACCTAGTTTAAAATGTGAGAAACAGGCAGTATTTCATCATGCTAAGTTCCTCACTCTTGAGACTTATATCCTAAACCCAATCAGAAATTATGCAAAGTATTTCTGCTTTAGTGCTCTGTTAATTTCTGTTTAGAAGGGAATAATCATAAAGCAGGGGCTTACCATGGTGGACTGCAAAGACCAATTTGTGACTTCCCAGTTGCCCTATGAAATCATGGCTAATCAGGAGGCAAATCTGGCTTTCCTCCTTTTTGCAATCTTACTATGGCATTCCTTTAAAAAGGATGCTAAAGTTAAGAGGAAGCAAGCCCAGACATCTGTTATATTTATTTTTTTTTAATTATTTGATTTATACCCCACCCATCTAGACCGAAGTCTACTCTGGGTAGCTAACAATAAGACATAAAAGTGAAAGCACTACAATTAACAGCAGTGACAACATAATTCAAAATGGGAAAGTTATTAGGTGATGACAGGAGGGAAAGCCTGCCTAAAGAGCCAGGTCTTTAGTTTGCTCTTAAAAACACCCAGTGAGGGACTGTTTTCTTCCTAGTTTTTCCTTTGTTCATAATTTGTTCCTGCCTCTACTCGCATGTGTGTTGCACTAAATGGTTTCAACCAAATCCAAGGCTGGTTCTTTCATTAGGTGCTTGTTTCAGACAGAGCTGGGGTCATTTCCTGAAGCATCCATCTCCCCTTTCCCCCCACCCAGGGAGGGCTCCTCTCATTCAGGAGAGCTGCCACTTCTCTGTAGAGCTCTCTCCAGAGCCCATTACTTGCTGGGCTCCTCAAAAGCAGACACCATAGGCATGGCAAACTGGAAAGTAATCCCTGCAGTACTGTGTCTTTCCTGTAACACAAGTGAATTGCCGGATCACATAACTCAAAAGTCTAACTCCAAGATCCCTGCCCCTCCACATATGACCATTTATAAAGTAGCTGGTTTACTGTAGAGCCAAGCTAACAATTGTTTTGCAACAAGCACAGCTCTACAGAGATGCCTGGCAAGGGCAAGGGAGGGGACAACATTTTATAGTTGATCTGAAAAATTGTAATTCTTGAAGTCATTTGTTCTCCTTCTTGAATGAGCCAGAAATAATATCCATGAATCCAACCTTTCGTAGTTCTTGCTTCTGAAAATAGATATGAACAGCCAGATTACTGTGGACCCCAAGTTACAGGTCTATGAAGATTCTAGGCAGACTCAGGCCTTGACAAATCACCCAGATGAGTAGGACATTCGAAGCTATTGACTTGACCATTTTTAATTTCCCACCACAAGAGCTGCCCAGTCCCCAAAGGAATATCCCGGTCTGTGAAAGAGATCTCAGTTGGTTTCACTTGAAGAGAAGACAAAATAGATCCACCAAGAGGCTGTGGCAGGAAATCCCAGGGCCATTCTCCAAAAATAAAGAATCTCTTCTTCCATACTTGGAGAGGATGTTTATGAGTGGCAGTTCAATTAGCCTGATCATCTCTCTTATTTATAGATCAGGAAAGGATTTGACAAGTCACCAATTGCTCCTGGGATCCTGAAAAGTTAAAGTATTTTATTGCTAATTGAATATTTCCTTTCTTTCCTGGAAATCCTGGATGCTGTGGTATATATCTGTAATAATTAAAGTCATTGTGAAGTATAGAGGCAACCTGTGACTCCTTGTATCTCCAGATACAGCATCGGCAACTCAAGCCCTCTCTGCTCCCAGTGCTGAGGCTGTGTTACAGGGATGCTGGGGGATACCAGGCACACTTTGAGTGAGCCAGACCCTAGAGAGGTATCAACAGCATCTGAAATATATCTTAGTGTCTGAATATCTTCCTGTTCCATTTGCAATCTCCAGATCATCACTAGTTTATAAAATTATTAAGGTTATTATTGAATTTACAGAATTGGAAATAACTGCTTTTTTAAAAAAAGAAAATGTTAATACTGTGTGCTTGTTTAGAAAAAGATGCAATTTAAAAAAAATCTAACTGTCTTGTATTTAACTGTACACTTAAATCTTTCCTATGTGGGGTGCTTTCAAAGCATTTTAAAATACAGCATTTATATCAAATTTCAAGAGAGGTATTGTCTGCTCCAGTCTCATAAAATAAGCATGAGTAATGGTAAGACATCATCTATACTAATTGAATGCAGACCTAGTACACAATAGACAAGTGACAGTATGCAAGTAAAGGTATATGTAACTGCATCACATCAGACAATTAGTGGTGACTAATGATCTAGTTGTAACTCCATAAAGAACTGATTGTGAATGGTGTTCAGTATGGGAATTAACTATGTCTTCCCCAATGGAAGCGAACAAATTTCAAGACATCCTATAACTAAGAATTAAGCTATGCCTACAGCAGGGGTTCCCAAACTGTGCACCATGGTGCTAGGGGACGCCCTGAAACCTAGCTGGAGTGCCATGGGAGAAGGAACAGAACCCCCTCAACAAGCCTATCTCCTCCCTCACCCCCCAAATTTCCCCAAGGGAAATTTCCAGGTCCTGACACAGGACGAGGCCACTGGCCTCCACCTGAGACCATACAACTAGAGTAAGGAGAAGCAGACACACGGCCTTCACTTCTGGCTCCTGTTTCACATAAAGGTATGAAAAGCTCCTGTAAGCATTTGTAGCTTGTATGTCAAACAGAAACTGGAAGTGGAGGTTATGTGCTTCCCTCTCCTTTCCTAACCCTATGGTCCCCAGTGGAGGCCCTTGCCTTGGGAGTTTCCTGCTTTAGGACCTGTAAGAAGGCAAGGCCTAGGGGATATGTGGAGGTGCGGAGGAGACGGGATGGTGGGGGGGAATGTCAAGATCCTGTCCCTGGTGGCAGTGAGACCCCGGATGACCCCTCTGAGCATGGGGCACCTCAGCTATTAGTCTTTTAATAAAAGGAACCGTGACTCCAAAATGTTTGGGAACCACAGGTCTACACAGTCTTGTGCAGATGTGAAAACAGGCAGAAAAAAAGAGCCATAGACATAGCTGGCAAGGACCAGGCACATAAATCACTCTCATCAATCCCACCATTTAATGCCCCTCCAGAAGCAGCAAAGGTTCATGTGCACACTGTACTTCCACAACTGCAATTGAAATGATACTGGTGAGAAGAAAAATTAAACACACACATACATACACACAGAGAGAAATACAGAATCAAAAACTAATTCAGTAAAAAAAATAAATGTGGTGAGGGAAAATGACGAAATACAGAATCCAAAACTAATTTAGTAAAAAAATAAATGTGGTGAGGGAAAATGACAAGAACCCTAAGATTCAAAAAGCGATTGATCACAACAGATTTATAATATTGCTCCAACATAGAATAGCATCATCCAGAACTAAAAACAAATGAAAAGCAGCAACTCACCATATAGCCAACATTTATTCTGATTCATTGTAAACAAACGTTAAGGATAATTTAATTACCCATATCTAGGATCCAAAGCAATAGCCCTAGGATGCTCCATTGCACCTGCTATTAATGTTGTCCTCAGCGTGCCATCTAATTTGGCTACTTCAATTTGGTCCAAATTGCTGTCTATCCAGTATATATTTCCAGCAATCCAGTCAACAGTTAAACCTTCAGGGGTAGCTAAACCATGTTGGACCACAACTTCAATGGAGCTTACCCCTGTGGAAATATTAAAAGAGTTCTTAACTTACAAACAAGAAGTGACTTTTTAAAAGATATTGACAAATGCTTAAAATACTTTTTAAAAATAACCGTAAATATTCTAAATAAATTTTATGCCACGAATGTCATACCCAGTACTTTTTTAATAATAAGGGACAACAATGAAGACAATAATTCAAAAACTGAGTTGTTGTGATAATTTAAGCATCAATATAAAACTCTTGTCAGTTTTGATGGATATCAGCAGATACTAAGACAATTAATCTGAACAGAAAGTACAATCATCATCATCATCAAGTCAGTTGACTTCAGCTGTTAGTTCCACGGAGAGTAGCCCCACTGAATCAAGTCAGCCCAAAATCTAAACTGAAACAGTCTATTTAAATCATTTCTACCTCAGAAAGGCTTCCAAATGAATAAATAAGACACTAGGCGCTGTACACCATTAAAACTGCTTGTACTCACTATCAATATTTTATTACTATAAAATATTTTGAGTGCTGCCTAGTGAAAATGGCAGAGCGTCAACTAACACTTTACTATGTTTATTAGGGCTGAGTCAAATTTGGCCACTATCTTGAATATTGTGTAAATGGAGAACATGATACAGATACAGTTCAAGCGTTCACTTGTTTATTCATTCATTCAATTTATATACTACCCCAATAGTGCAAGGACTGCATTGGTTGGTTTATACAATATACCCTCCTTCAAACACCTGCTTTCTCTGTGCATGATTATGTTCTTAAAAATTCTTTTGCAACTTCAGAAGGATCTTTCTTTGCAGCTGAGGCTCTTCTATACTTTCATTTTTAGCACTCTTCCCCAAGCCCATAACAGATAATGACAGAGAAGATATACAGTATGCAAAGGTGTGGTAGTGGGGAGGGAAGGAGGGGTGACACTAGAGCCCTACTAGAAACATTTTACAGTGTATTGTCTGCAAAGCAGCATGCAGGATTTCAGCCTTTGTGCCTAATAAACTAAATGTTGGGGAGGAAATCAGAATGGCAATTTAAAAAATCCTCTAAATGTCATAAATGGCAAAATGAATCCTGCAGGTAAAAGAGGAGATACAAACAGCCTGAAAAGCTTCCATATCTGAAAAGCATTCCGTGCTTCCATGGATAATACTACACTTGGGGGTGTTTCAAATACCAGCCACACAGTTGTATACATGCTACTGAGAAATAAGCCCCACTGAGTTCAAAGAGACTCAGTCCCAACAAAGTTTGGATAGGATTGCAACCTCAATCCACAGGTGGAGCAGAAACGTCTGTAGCTATGCCGACTTCAAAAGATTCTCCTTCCTTGGAACTTCCTTGCCCAATGGAGTGAGAGTGGGCTGAATTTCTGTTGTATTCTACTCCTCCTCAAATCTGGTTGTGCTAAAATTCAGTTCCAACATTGTGAGGCCTTTGGGGGAGGGAATTACATGTTATCAGTATATTAATGATACTCCCTCCATCTAAGTTCATGTGTATGGGCCTGGCCTTGAGGATAACACAGAAGGTGCAAATAGCACAAAATATGATTATATGGGTCTACAAACCCATGGGATGTGTCTTTGCTAATAAGTTAGCATCTGCATTAACAACTTAAGACAGCGAATTTAGTATCCATTGCCAGTTTTAAAAAAAGCAGTTTCTAGAGATGGGATTTTCAGATTGACATGAATGAGGAAAAACACATAATAGGCTCTTCCATTTTTCTGTTCTTCCATTGACTCCTTAGAGAGATGTCTTAAACCTAAATGTTTTGTTTTAATGAGAGAGAGGGACATGAAAGCAAATGATTATTTCATGTTTCCCTATTTCGTCTGCCCCTTCCTTTACCCCTTGTTTGTAAAAATTATCTGAGAAGCCTTCAAATAGTATCAGGAAGGCTGCTGCCAGTTGCCAGCAGCCAACCAGAATATTGGTGAGATCAAGAATTCTGCGATGGTGAAAGGCCCTGGATTGGTTGTTGCAACCCAGTAGGAGTGGGAGTGCTCTAAATCTCAGATTTCTCCTCATCCTTGACTGCTACAAAACTTCCCATCCCCCCTGCCTCCAGCTAAAGTTTTTGTAATGTGAAGACCTGAGGGGGTGTAGGGGATATGTGAGTGAGTGAGTGAGTGAGTGAGTGAGTGAGTGAGTGAGTGAGTGAGTGAGTGAGAGAGAGAGAGAGAGAGAGAGAGAGGAACTAGAAAGGAGGAGGGTAAGACTGAGGTGGGGGGGTGAAGCAAAGGAGGTGGTGGAAGCAGCACAATGTTTTCCAACATCATTTCTTTAATGAAAGAGAAGGTGACACCTGCATTAAACCACTAAAAAAAAAATCAAACAAATAGCACACTTCCATGGCTCAAATCCACTTCCTCAGGCCATGCACCAATATTTTGTAGACAGTGCAGAAAAATTACAAATTTATCATTTATAGCATAATTTATCATATACAATTTTTCTGCACAGTCCACACAATGGTCCATAGCCTGAGGAAATGAACTTGACCCATGAAAGCTCATAGTTTGCTTTTTTTTTAGTGGCCTAATACATGTATTGCCTGCATTTCCATTTGTGTAGTTTTAAGGACTGCAGTTCTTTCCTCATTTTTTTCCTGAACATCAGTTCTTTATTTCCCCTTTGTTCTTGCCTTTTCTTTTTGAAAAAAAAATGTGCCACAAACCACCCTGCCCTATCAAAGCAGCAGCTCCAGCAAAAATTGCTCTGCTGAAAGGGAGGCATGTGGAGAGGCGAAGCACTGGGATCCAGGGAAGCACAGTAGTCGTGTTTCAAGACATAAAAGTTCACTCAAAGATTTTTTTTTCCTCTCCTTGTGGGGAGAGAATTGGATGAGAGCTCAGCTCAGAGCTCCTTCCCCTTATTTTTGCCCCCTCTGGGTTTTTCCCCCTCTTTTACTATTGGAATTGCATCAAAGGCGAAGGAAGATCATACAAAGAGGTGGGAGGGCAATGAATGAGGTTTTCATGTGCCAAATTCTGCACAGTCCAATGCAGGGAATCTTGTGCAGGAAATATGCAATTTTCCACAGAAACTGATAACTCCATACAGGTTGGTGTTTCTTCGAGGAAAAGAAAATCACAAAACTTCTATGAAAATTCAATGAGCTTCCAGGAATTCTTGGGCTGGGGGAACCTCACACAAGGAAGGAGGGGGGAAAAGGGATTTCCCTCTCTTTGTTTTCTCATCACAAGCAAAAGGCTATAAAATAGAACTATTTTAAAGAGCCTGAGTTTAGTGATGCATTTCTCGAGGGATAAACAGGGTCCATTCATGAAGACTTGACATATATGCCAGACCAAGTGTTGAATGCAACAAATATGTATATATGTATGTACTCATGTAGCAAGTTAATTGGCAAACAAGTAATTTCCACAGTCTGTCAAAACAGTCTGTCAAAACGGGGCCGGCCACAGTAGAATATATATGTGACATATCTCTGAGAATTGAGTGGGATGAGAAGACTGCAGCAGAAGATGTAAGAACATTTGTAAGATGAAATCAAACAAAGCCATTTGGAGTACATGTCTGTAACAAATTTTTAGATTATGCAAATGCAAGTAAGAAAAAGAACAAGACAGAATTTAATGGGGTCACAATTTTTCTTCAGTTATAAGTTCCCTGAGAGTTTTTAAAATTAAATTTTACTTCATACCTCCGGTTTCAGAGAGCTTGCCCCTGTAAATTTTATCTTCTACCACATCTGTCCAGTACAGTAAGCTCTGATTGAAGTGGAAATCAAGTGCTATAGTATTTCTTAAACCAGGAACTAACAGGCTGTAGTCCCGTTTTTGCAGATCAATCCTTCTGATCTCATGCCGAATGGAAAAAATTATGAATGCTTCAAATGGATCTGGAAACACAATGTTACATTTTGTGGTAAATGAAATAAGGTATTGGCAATAATAGTGAGATTAATAAAAAGTATATTCAATATATTGAGCTCTGATAGAATATCCTACATGTAGAATAACTTTAATTATTTAGTAAAGTAAGGACAGTATACAATGCTGGACTTTTGCCAGATTCCAGCAGAATGAGATGGGAAC